TACATCGACATTTTTATTGAAAGGGGCTGTGTGTGTACAGGAAGCAAAACTATGCAATCTTCTACCTTGTTGAAGTTGTCTTAGGTACCTCTTTCTCGCTCGTAAAAGTCACTCGCTGCCGTTGAGACACCGACCGCGAAACGCTGAGATGCAGACGGTATGTACTTTGGTCATCTTGCTACTGGTCTACAATCTAACAATAAGAAGCAATCCTACTCTTACTGGACCCCTTCATCAGGCGTCCGCACGCTTAAGGAAACATCCAACATCGGCGAATTATTGACAGAAAGGGCAACGGAATCCGCAGGACCATATTCTACCGTCATAATACCACCTCTCTTCAAGACTATCACCGTTACACCGAGTCCCGGACCATACTCTACAGTCATCATTCCACCTCTCTTCAAGACTGTCACCATAACAGTCGACCGATCCGACTCTGGCTACGCCTCTTCACGGCCTCAGCAAGCAAGTGCGACACCAGCCTCTAGCGAATTTGCGACTCTCGATGACAGCTCGTCGTCTTCCTTCAACGAACCCGAGATCAAGTCCCTCAATATGGGTGCGGTAATAGGCGGCATTTTGGGCGGTTTAACAATTGTTGGCATCATATTCATCGCGATGTACTGGATTCGCCGGAGACATCCAGATAGCAACAAAAGCGAGAAGTCAGCAGGTGCAAACGATGAGGGTCGTGGGACTACATCAGAGGATGTGGAGGAAACACCATATGAGTTGCCTGGGACTCAGACAGCGCCTGAGCTGGAGGATACAGCAGTGCTTCAGAGTCGATTACCAACTAGCTAGCTGTTTGCACCGATCAAATCCACCTCGCAATTGCCTTTCCGGCTTGACCACCTTCCCTTGCAGCACCGTGTACTTAATAATATTCTCACAATCCTCAGGCTTCACTCTTGCCAACCATATACACTGCGCAGCCTCGCCATTACCCTCTGCTTCCTGCTCCTTATTAGCATCCAGCAGAACTTCCTGCCCATTATCGTCTTCAAGTTTCAGGTCCGCGAGCCGCTTCTCCGCGCCATTGGCATGTCCATTGTCAGTGCCATTCGTGCTCTCGGGCCGTGTGACGACTGAGGAGTGTCGGTAGACCATGACGTTTGCCGAGAACTTGTGGCCTCCAACGTGGCTTATAAAGTATATTCCTACGCCGCCCGGTCGCTCGTCGTGTAGATCGCGGTATAACCCCAGTGGTCGGAGCAGTCGCTCGAACTCTTTTCGTAGAAGAGGAGCGGACTGGCCGCAACGTGCGTCTCGTGTCTTTTGACTGCACATCAAGATGAGGTATTTGTGTGGACATGGTCGGGCTTTGAGTTGGGGTGCGGGTATCGTCGGGGGTATGGATGAGGGCGCGTTGGCGTCGGCGGAAGAAGTCTCTTCCGGCTTTTCTGAGGGTGGTAGCGCGGCAGTTTTCCGTGAGCGCAATGGGGTATTATTCGTAGGACCGGGGTTGATATGGTCGGTGATAAGTTCGGGGATGTTCGCAGGTGTGACATTGTCTATGAACTGCCATGACGGTAGCAGTAGTACCATGGAACTGTGATCCGAGTGGTCTGGGACGGGCATATTGGAGGCGGATAACATGAGTTTCTGTACCTAATTAGCTCGCACTCGACACAACCTGAAGGCGTCATATCTCCAAACTCACCCCATTGCTAGGTTTTGCATCGCCCCTGTCAACCGCCTCCATGATGCTGCCCTTCTCGTCCGCAACATCGCGCACCCAATCCGTCTTGCCCGTCGCAACAATCAAATGCGTACTCCATCCCTTCACGTGTCCATACAGCTCTTCCGTCTCATCAATCTCAAATTTGCGCGGGTATTTGACACTGCAGCTGGCGCAGTCATGTAGGCAATCATCGCCATCTACCGCGGGGTCGGTGGTCGGGAACAACTCCTCCGTCTTCTTCGCTTTGGTGAATTCGTCGCTGTCCTTGGCCAACGTCGGGACTTCCGACGACGAGAGTGCTGAGGTCAGCTTGTAGGACAGGTTGCGCAACATGGCAGGGACTCGGTAGGCGTTTATCGGCCGGTGGGGCGTCTTGGATGGTGCCATTGCGTATCTTTATATCAGATGCGGCGATTAGATCGCCAAGGCCGCGGAATGTGGGCGCGCGGTGACGCCGACGCTTACGGAGTGGTTGGTACCTGGATGATGTCTTTCACGCCCGTTCACGGCCGTTGTTGCCTAATGAACAGTAATTATCGAATATCACCGAAGTCGAAGTCTTACGGGAGTTCAGACGGAAGCTGACCGCCTCTTATGTTGCTTTTCTTGTCTCGGTGAATTGCTTCGGCTTTCGGACCTCGCGTTATCAGATTAGGCGACGATTATGCTTCCAGCTTCGGATTTGTTGGACAAGGCCCGGACATCCTCACATTCTCCGACTTGTCTCTACAGTACTCGGCTCCACATCAATTGATAACCCTCGCATCCCTCCTACGCTAGTATACTTCGAAGAACGACGCTGTTCCCATGACTTCTATTGCGCACCCGTGGACGCGTCGATCCAACACGTACGCGTAGACGCGTCAGTCGCGTAAGATGCGGCTCAAGATGCTCAATGGAGCGCCCTTGCGCAACCATCTAGAGTTCAACGAAGACACACTTTTGGCAGTCGAGGATTGCCGTCCCTTTGATGCAGCAACAAGCGTTTCTACACCTGCAAATGAATCCACGTCGTCTTTAAAGTGGCGCGGACTGCCTTTCAAGAACCCTCGGCTCCAGACTGGATGGTCACAACCTTTTCTCCCAGGAAATGTTCGAGGTCAAGACATATCAGATGTTTCGCTGCCCAATGTGGGTCGGTATACTTCGTTTTTACAGGAAGATACAACCCACCTGGATACATCTATCGCCTTTGAGGATACGTCAATCGCTACACCTGGTTATCTCGAGCATTCGCTCATATTCCACGACACACTACTGTCGTCTCAGGTCCTTCCAGACGGTATAACGGATAAGAGCGTCAGCTCCTCTTCTTTCTTGACTACTTCTTTCGGAACTACTCTATCGGACTTTGATAGCCCAAGTAAAGTCGATGAGCATACACTACTCGTCAAAGTCGCGCCCAAGATGAGTATCACGCCTCTTGGATTGTTACCTAGCGCACAGCGTCTACGAGCGATCTACCCGCAAACTCCAACACCAAACTTCCTATGCGTTGTGACTGCGACCCCGGAACAGAAAGAAGTCTTTGTTCGCAAGGGTGGATACAAGATGAATCTATGGGAGATCATCGTTGCGGATGATACACGCTCAGACTTCAAGGTCACATTCTGGCTGCGTCCACCCCGAGAGTCAAACAACGAAAAAAACCACGTTCAAAATCAACTACTGCAGACACTAGAGAGCATCAAAGTTGGCGACATTCTGCTTCTGAGGAACATTGCGTTGACATCGTTCGGTGACACCGTCTTTGGCCAATCTCTGAACCCGGCCATCACACGGGCTCGAACGACTATTGATGTCTTGACGAGAAGCAACGGTATCTCAGCTGCTCAGCTGGGCGAGCTCCCCGCGCCAGTAGTCGAAGTCTTCAAAAGAGTCAAAAAGTGGGCAAGGTTGCACATCGCATCTGATAGTGCAGGTTCGAGAAAGAGAAAGAGCAGCCAGGCGAAACAAATCAAGGACTCGAAACGCACTTTGATAGCGCGTGATGTCGATGATTCCATGCCTCCCGACACTATGGAAAGTGTATGAAGCACATCCCCCGCAAAATCGCGATAACACCAATTTTGCCGGTTAGCAATCGCTGCGTGCCGACATTGTTTCGTCGCATCGACCATTCCAGGCCGTCACATCCGAGTTGATAGGTGCCTGAATTTCGGTTGCTCGTCAATTTGCTCTCTGTGAGCGTCGCACCATGCCGTGGTGGTCTGTGCCGCGGCCCTGCCATCTCACACAATCAACATCACACAGCTTCCCCACGTCACAGCCACAATCAGTATACTGCACCGATCGAAGATGGCCCGCTTGTATCGATGTTTGATTCTCGACTAGCCGGCGGGGCTAATACATCCCCAAGATACTCAACTGTCTATGCTGCGTCTTGGCCAGGACGACTAAGTCAACGGTCAAGCGCGGTTATACTGAGATCATGAACACCGGTGCTAGACCCCCAATGAAGCTCGACAATACGCTAAAGGACTCTGACTGTCTGTGTTCATGGTCCATACCTCGTGCTCCTCCGTCCTTGGCACGTTCATGCGAAGAAACCAAACATGTTTCGAACATCATCCTACATGCAAGGATGCGCCGAGCAACAACGGCGTACTCGCTGCTGCACCTGCCTTTTGACAGCTGGTCGATGTTTTACGCATGAAGTGCCGGTACTACAACGCGGTACGTCACTTACAGGCAGCGGGGCAGTGGATTGTGCCATCAGCCGTTCATTTTACGGACTTCTTATATACAGCATCATGTCCATCCAGAATCCCATCACAGCATCGCTTGCCCAGTCTCTCTTTCAGTCCTAGTGACATTCATTCTTTTCGTTCGCAACTTGTTGCAGCTTCCATTCGTTCAGATCTTGACGATCACTTTCATTCGCTACCGGCTGGCCAACATGAAATCATTCTTTTCTTTCACTGGTCTGGCTACCACACTCTCGTTACTGGCAAGCGTGCAAGCTGTGTCCAACTCTACCAATGGCCCTTCATGTGGAGTTGCAAAGGCAGACGACAGCTACTTCAGTGTTGTCGGGGTCCAAGGAACTGGAGTACACCCCCGACAGGAACTCCGTGAATTGCAGAAAGACACGGAGTTATGGAATATCTTTATCCAAGCGTTTGCTCGCTTCCAGGCTATGGACCAGGATCAGAAGATCTCTTACTTCCAGGTCGCAGGTATGGAATTAATGTTCTTATCGGAGGCTTAACTAACATCTTTAGGGATACACGGAGTGCCATTCCAGAAGTGGGACAATGTGAATGGAACAGCCGGTCATGAGATGATGGGATATTGTCCTCATGGGTCCAGCATGTTCGGCCCATGGCACCGGCCGTATCTCGCGCTCTTCGAGCAGGTTCTCCATGATCGCGCGGTCGACGTCGCCAATGAGTATCCCATCGGTGAAGCCCGTAACAAGGCTTTGGATATTGCAAACCGAGTTCGCCTTCCATACTGGGACTGGGCGATGGATCCGCCAAACAGTGAAGAGGGTGTCATCCCTGAGAACGTGCGTTGCCTTACGGCTACTGTCACGTTTCCCAATGGAACCACAGGGTATATTCCCAACCCTCTGTACAAATACGACTTTCATCCTCTGAAGTATGATGACTTCGCTCCCCTGGTACGTCTCAATTCTATACATCTACGCTCCGCGAGGAAGATATCATGCTGAAGAACTTGGCTGCTGACACACGAGTAGAGCGAGTTTGAGTTCAAGTACTGGAACCACACTATTCGCTACCCAGCTGATCCCCACGCTGCCAATGCCACTAGCCGTAACAGCGAGGTCAACGATCGAGTTGGCAAACAGCAGCCCAATCTCCGCGATATGCTCTACAAATTGTTGACAACGTACCAACCCTTCAGCCAAGTGAGCAACAAGGCGAACGGTGGCAAGATCGGAAATTTTGAGACTCTACACGATGGTCTTCACACAGTCTTCGGATTGGGTCACATGGGCATAGTGGAGGTTTCGGCATTCGACCCCATCTTCTGGTTCCATCACTGGTAAGTCCTCGGAACGCAATGCTGAGAGTAACGCTAATCGTGTATAGTAACATTGATCGGATCATATCTATGTACCAAACTCGCTACCCCGACACCTGGGTCGAGGACGCTGAGCAGCGTATGGGTTCATTCGCTGTCGCCAGCGGTAGCGTTCTTGGTACTGCTTCGCCACTCGCACCGTTCCACATGAATGCCCTTGGCGACATGTGGACTGCAACCACTTCCCGCAACTGGACCTCCTTTGGATACACCTACCCCGAACTCGAAAACAACCCTAGCAATGCGACGCTGACATCGTCCATCAATCAGTTGTACAAGGCCCAGACTCAAGGCCTGAGCGAGACCAATGCGACTGTCAATGCGACGTTCCCGACTCCGGGCGGAGGCAGCATCAATCGCACGGTTCAGGCTACCGACTGGCAGTGCGAAGTCAACATGCCGACCGACATCAAGGTCTCCTACGCCGTTCGCGCCTTCCTTGGCGAGCCCAGCACCAACCCCATCGACTGGCCTACGGACCCCAACTACGTTGGTCAGCTCGCCACCCTATCTTCTCCGCGAATGAGCTCCTCAAACATCGTTACGGGTAACATCGGTTTGACTGAGAAGCTCGCACAGAAGCACGCGGCTGGAGAGCTCAAGAGCCTGGACAAAGAAACCGTACAGGCCTATCTCAAAGAGAAGTTCAGCTGGCGCATCCAAGCTTTGGACTTTAGCGAGATCCCACGAAACAAGCCACCCAAGGGCTTGAACGTCACCGTATTCAGCGTGCCAGTCAGCATCCCAGAGTCCGACACCGAGGTGCCAACCTGGAACGGCGATGCCGAATACAAGGACGACATCGAAGGCAACCCGCCCGTGTACAACGGACCTGGACCTGACGGCACCAACTCGACTCTCCCCGCAGATCAGTCGAGCGGATCCTACGACGCTGAATCTGGCGAGTTTGTATGGAAAAAGGCTCCTGTTCCGGAGGTTGTGCCTGATGCTGGTGGTGTGGGTCCCCAGATTGCAACAACGCTCCTGGAGTCTGTCATTACGCAGTATGTGACACTGGGAGCTTCGACCCCGGCCGTATCTACACCTACACCTGCGGTCTCAATTGAGGTCTCCAGCGCGCCGGCCATCTCATCGATTCCTACACCTACACCCGAGGTTTCTAGCGCACCGGCCGTCTCAGAGCAAGCGCCTGAGCCTACCGCGCCCGCTGATCCGCAGACTACGGTTGTGACTTCTGTTATCATGGAGTATGTCACTGTGTAAGCCAGTGACCATGACCGGCTAGATATCGTTCCTGCTGTTTGTTGGCGACGGCGCACTTTTCCGCTCATTTTTCTTGTACATGTCTCTCTTCATGTTTGTGCACACTTGCACTATCACACTCGTTCTATGCTGTTGCATATACATACCCACACTCGCTTTATATCGCTGTATATACACTACCACGCCTTACGCCTTACGCTCATTTCGTCACGCACGCAAAAGAAATCCAACCACACGTTCTTTGACTCTTGCTCGTTGCTGACCTATTCTGCTCTTCTCGTATGCTAGCTTCCTTCATACTGTTTTCATACATGCTCACTCACAGCAAACGCACATCACAACCTCAAGCAGACAACGCAGAATTGTTTCACTTCAACACGTATTCCTCGCCAAACACTACTCATCCCAACGCCCCACCACCCATCACAGCAACCCCGCCCTCAAAAGCTTATTCCCAAATTCCAAAAGATAGTAATCCGCATACACCAACCCATGATCCGCATACTTCATATGCGCATGCTCATTCCAATTCGTCGTGCTGTTCCTTAGTATACACTCGAACCCTGACTCCTTGATCTTCAGCTCTGATGCTACCGCTGCGCCGTTGACGCTATTCCCATTGACCATGGCCTTGGTGGGGAGTTCAAAACACGCTAGATCAGAGTCGTACGACATATCTAGCGTCTGGGATACAATCTGCAGTGCGATGTCGAGGAAATTGGTGGCGCTGCTAGAAGGGAGTTGCGATACCGTGGCTGAAGAGAGGGATTGGAGTGCTTGGTGGATGATAAGAAGACCGTTCGCTGTTATCACGCCTGCGGAAACGTCGCGTAGCGGCTCCTCGGCATTATCTTGTGGCGCGTCGAAATCCCAACACGGGACCATGGGGTGATGCCACTTCCCTTCTCCTTCTTTCAACCTTTGCAAGAAATACTCTGCGCATTGGATCGCTGTTGCCAGATACTTGATATCCTTCGTCCACGAATACGTCTGTGCGAACCCCATTATAGCCCAAGCTTGGCCCCGACTCCACGTCGAATCGTCTTTCCAGCCTTGATTCGTCATCTTGGCTTGTGGTTGTCCAGTTCGCGGATCGAAGTTTACGAGGTGGTAGGAGGAGAAGTCTGGTCGCAGGATTTCGTGGATGATGGAGTCGGCGTGTTGGGTTGCGATGTCGATTAGCTTCTGGTCGTTTTGGATGTGGCCGACGAAGTAAAGGAGGTCGAGGTCTGGGATTTGTGGGTAAGTGGGGAGAAGGAGTGCATGGAATGGAAGGCTTACTGCACATGCTGTCTATGATGACGAGGAAGTTTGTCGACATGTCCGTTATTGAGTAACGATCGTTGATCGCAACATCCCAGCTCCGAATCGCTTTTACTCGGTCATTATATCGCGATGCGAGCGCGTATGCTGCGTTGACGACAGATTGTAGGCTTTCTTTGTTCCCGGTCAACTCCCAGTCTTTTTGTAACGCGGGCTGTACGATGAAGCCCATGTCGTGTGTATCTGTTCGACCTGACATCTGGTTGATAGCAACGCCATAGTGTCGACCAAGTTTGAGTAATTGGTCCTGGATCTGTGGTCGCACATGTTCTGGGACATCAATGGCCTGTGGGTACCGTATCGAGCGTTCTAAGAGGGCGTATATACATCCTGGGAAGAAGCCGCATGTCCAGAAGTCTGCTTCTCGCTCTTCGTATCGGCCTGCGTCGGGACCAATCTGGGGTACGGTGTGTGGATATGATGGTAAGGGAGCCGGTTGTTTAAGGCCGCGTTGCGCGACTTGTACGATCTTTGCTGCTACGCTTTGTGAGTAGATCTGACTGAGGTCGACATCCTTCACGCTAGATAGACTTAGCATTGGCTTGTGTTGTTTTACATGCGCGTTTGCTTACACTGCGGCCTTGGAAGGCATCTTGGCATCCTGTACAGCGCTTCCCATCTTCTTTTCGCGATCGGAAGTTGCGAGTGACGTATGTTCGATACGAAGGTAATCGCCGTCCAATAGCACTTGGGACTGCGTCGTTGGGATGTGGCGTTTCTACAAGTTGTTCGGTCGTAACTGAGCGAAGAGAAGAGTCAGGAAGCAAAGCAAAGAGCAGCCAAGGTGTTGCTTCTTGCCAAAAAGCCCACATCGGGCGACGCGTAAACTGTCGCGCGTAGCATGGCGGGGCTGTTATCGATACCGGGTCATCTTGCGACGAGAGATGAAAGTTAAGGTGTAGGCTAAATATAGGATCTGCATTACCCCGATGCCCGCTACCCGGCCGTTTGCACAAGCTCAGAGCATCGTCCGCAATGTGGACGTCATTCTTTTCTTGATCTCGTATCGTCTCAAAGCTCGTGACTACGCTTTCTTGGACTCATGGACGGCCTTCCAGAAGGGGTATCTGTTCCTTCGCTTGCTGTGTTGATAAGCCTTGGAAGCGACGTAGCGGGGACCTAAGGCTGGGCTTCTAGCTACTTTCCCCGCATCGCACTATCATGAAGTCTGGGGTTGGGTAGCGCTGCTAGGATGAAGCGACGGAAAGACTTTGACCGTCAATATCGACGCGTCTAAGTTTGAGACGATCGCGTGAATCTTTGTCGGCATAAAGATGCTAGGGTTCGTAACGTGGATAGGACCAACCAACACTTCGTCCTGTTAACGTCAAAATGCTGTTCATTCGTGCGACCGCGAGGCTGCTTCTGATTTCCTTTGCTGCTGCCGCACCGCCGTCGGCATTGAAGAGGGCAGCTTCCATACTTCCTCTGTCGACCAAGGGGCGAGACATAGTCGACGCGAATGGCAATGTCTTCCACTTCATGTCGACAAACTGGCCAGGTCACCAAGAGATCATGATTCCTGAAGGCCTCCAGCACTCATCCGTCCAAGATATCGTATCATGGTTTCCTAAGCTCGGCCTCAACTCGGTCCGCATGCCGTTCGCAATCCAGATGGTGGATGACTACCTTGCGAACAGCCCTGACCAGACTCTCGAAAAGAGTGTCCTTAATGCGATTCCGGGCACGAACGGCACCGATGTTCTGAACTCCATCCTGGAGAAAAACCCACAGTTCACCAAGAACACAACAAGACTGCAAGTCTGGGATGCTGTCGGCAAGGAACTCTCGCGTCAAGGCGTCATCATCCACTTAGACAACCACGTATCGAAGGCTTTCTGGTGCTGCGGCGATGACGACGGCAATGGCTGGTTCGGCGAGAAGGACTTCGACGTGGAGAAGTGGAAGCGAGGTCTGGCCTTCATGACGAAGCATGTATGTACTTAAAAGACCGTCTGCTATGGAACAGATGCTGACCAGATTAGGCGAAAGAGAACTGGTCGACGTTCTCATCAATGGGGCTGCGCAATGAGCTGCGAGCTGCCAAGGTCGCCGAGCCTGTCGACTGGTATACCTGGTATATCCACATGACTGCCGCTGCAGACGCCGTTCACGAGGCAGATCCGAATGCGCTAATATTCTTCTCTGGTCTTTCGTACGACACGTACATTGACCCCATCCCTCTCGGAAAGACGCTCAATGGTACCAGTGGTACATCGACTGCGAACAAGACCGCGAAGTTTGTACCCGATAGCTTTGCCTGGAAGGATAAGATCGTTCTCGAGATCCACAAGTATGATTTCGAAGCCACCCAGGATGACTGCGCGACCTTCAAGAGGAAGTGGTATCAGAAGGGCTTCCAGGCCGTCAACCCCGACGACCCAGCGACCAAGTACACTTTCCCGATGGTAATCTCCGAATGGGGATTCATCCAGAACGGAACATACTGGAACCAAACCACTTACGCGGAATGCTTGGTGGAGATGGTCAAGGAGTACCAGGTTAGCTGGCAGCATTGGGAGCTCTCAGGTAGCTTCTACCTCCAGACTCGTCCTAACCGAACTCCCAACACGCTCATAGGAGCGGATGAGGCATGGGGATTGTTGAACTACGATTGGTCTGCGCTTCGATCGCCTGTCACCCTAGAGAACAGCTTATACCAGATGATCGAAGCGTTGAAGTAGTGGAAAGGCGTAGCGTAGAAGTAGATATGGTCATTCCAAAATCGAAACCCGGTCGCGATCACGCTCTCCTGATATGTAGGTATAGTCGCGTGAAGATGCGTATGCACGGCTCTGCATGGGAGGTCCCCGGGCACCATGCTCTTCTAAGGTTACACAAAGAACGCATACTCAACGCGAACAGTTTTTCGAGATGGGCCCAGGAAGTGAAAGTAAGTGTGTCGGTTTCGAGTCGTGGACGTTGGCGATGAATGTGCATGCTCGCGGTCGCGACGCGTAGAGACGCGCCTAAGATTTTCCGTTCGCGAACGTGTCTATGACGTCATCGGATGTTACACACCATACATGCATCTGCGCAACGCTAAATAGAAGACAACTTGCATGCGAAGAAATGAGCGGTATAGTAATCAGCGAGTGATTCCGAGGCCTACTTTCAAGCTTGTTAGGCGGACGATGCGCCGAAGTTGCCTGCCTGTGGCTGCGCCTTGGCACGACTCATGGACCGCAATGCATCCTTCCCGAACCAAGATTTGAGCTTCATTCCATCACCCCACAGCTTCCCCATGCTCTTGGCTATCTTCCAGCAGCTCAACACCCACCGGACAACGGGTTAATACCTCTTTCAGTGCCCGTTTGTGGATTTCTCCCCAGAAGAAGCCCGCCCCCGCACTCGACCATCCGTATGCAGAAATATCCCGACGCCCGAGCAGGAGCCGTCCAGTCGCTTACTAGCTTTGAGATTTAGCCATGCGGGAACTACCTACTCACCTGTTCTTCGGGTTCCGACGAACGTCAGGGCTTTAAGCACGAAGACCCCAGCTTTGTTGTACTTTTCCGAGGTCGTGCCGTCAACACTTTCATCTGACGAGAGGCAACTCAACATGGCTAGCACGCAGCCCAACGACGAAACTGCTGGTGTCGCCAACAGGACTGGCGAGTTCGATACCAACGTTATCGCGCCTGCTGAAGCTCCGAAGAGGTCACCATGGAAGGCGTGGATGTATCTCTGGGAATGGTATCCTAAGCACTACCCTGAGGAGGAGAGGAAGTTGCTGAGGAAGATGGACGCTTGTCTGCTGACATTCTGTTCCTTTATGTGTAGGTCACACTATCGAGTCTCCCAGTACTTATATGCTAACGAAACTAGTCTTCCTCAAGTGGCTGGATTCCTCCAACATCAAGAATGCCTATGTGTCGGGCATGAAGGAAGAGCTTAGTCTCTACGGCAACGAGTACTCGCTATTCGACACCTTCTACAACGTCGGGTATCTCGTATTCCAGGTCCCGTCTTTACTCCTTTTATCTCGACCGCAGATTGCCAAGTACTATCTGCCGACCATGGAAGTGCTGTGGTCCATCGTGACTTTCTGCCAGAGTCAAATGCGCAGCCGAAACGACATCTACGGTACTCGATTTCTGCTCGGCCTACTTGAGACGCCTGTAGCATCTGGTACCACATATGTACTTGGCTCTTGGTACAGACCTGAGGAGGTCTTTAAGAGGACGGGAGTTTGGTATGTCTCCAACAACATTGCCGTGATGTTTGGTGGATATCTACAAGCTGCGGCGTACAACAACCTCAACGGGTAAGCGACCTTCCGCAAAGTATCATGCTGTCGCTAACCTCTTGTAGTGTCGGTGGCATGTCGGGTTGGAGATGGCTGTTCATTATAGACGGAGTAATCTCTCTCCCTATTGCTCTTGCGGGCTTCCTCATCTTCCCGGGTCTACCAAGCAGTGCAAAGCCATGGTGGCTTACACCAAAAGAGCATGCGCTAGCTCGCTCACGCATGGTTAACGCCGGTGTCGCACCAAGCAAAGAGCTTAGCTGGACGGTCGCAAAGCGCACATTCATGCGCTGGGAGTTTTACATGGGCGTACTGTGTTACACCTTGTGAGCATCTTCGAGTAACCCATAGTTACAACCGCTGACCGACTACTAGCTTCTTATCCTCCTCTTATCCTCACGGACAGATGGCAATCTGGCTCAAGGACCTTGCTGCCAAATATCCCGGCGCCTACACGGTCCCTCAAATCAACACTATCCCAACTGGTGCCCAAGGTGTCTCCGTCTTCGCCGCGCTCCTCGCCACCTCCCTCTGCATGGTCTACCCACTCTGGTCCATCTTCTCGATCGTCCAAACCATCTATATCGTCGCCAACATTTCTCTCCTGGTCTGGAACATCCCCAAGGGCTACCACTTCGCCTGCTACTACCTACTTGGTGTATCAGCTGCTGTGACGCCCATCCTCATGCCGTTCATCAACATGGCTCTACGTGACGATGCTGAAGCACGCGCTGTCACTGTTGGTGCTATGCTGACAGCTGGTTGGGCTGTCTTCTCCTTCTACCCCATCACAGTATTCCCTATCGTCGAGGGCCCGAAATGGACAAAGGGGTATGCAGTGAACATTTGCTTCATTGTAGGATGCTGGAGTTCATTCTTGGTCATGCAGTATCTGTACAAGAAGAGCGAGAATAAGAAGCAGAACATGATGATTAGGGACGTGGCCAAGGATCAGGAAGACATGGCTGGACTAGACATCAAGGACGCAGCGGAGGTCGAACACGCAGAGGTCAGAAAGTGATGCGCAGTAGAGACAGATACCTTAAGTTGCTTGTCGGTGCGCTATGTAGGTTAGCTTTGTGAACCTGCAAATATGGAATGCAAACCTTCCTGTTGAATGGAATCATCCAGCTCGCATAATCAAACATATTCTGCTCTACCAAAAGCCGAACTCTGCAGTCTACGCAACGCCTCTCAAAGCCCCAAACTAAAACACCATCATGCCTTCCCAACCCCACCATCGGATCCCACAAACGCTACGAGGACGTGCGCAAACCCAGCCCGACATGTCTAACGCAGCAACGGATTCCCTCTCCCCACCACGCCATCGACATAGAACCAAGCGAGAGGTTATCCCACGCCGCCACACCACATCCCCACACTCCCCTTACTACAACCGCATAATCCGCCTGGAAGGCCAAATCACCTCCATCATCTCAATCCTAAAATTCCACCTTCGGTACGCAGACTTTCCGACAGACACCTCTCTCTCGGCACTACGTCTCCATCCATTACCTGTATACTTCGACATAATACAAGAGCTCATCAGCCACATCGAATGCGGTTTGGACTATAACGGTGCGTTCAACGCCGGCGACCTGATATATCTAGCGCAAGAATGGTATTTCCCGCATGTGAAACGGCGGGTGGGAGCAGACGAAGAAGGGGTAGTAGAAGTAGCGCCCCAACCGCACTGGCCTAAGATCCTGTTTCTCGCACAGCTTCAATGTATACTTGAAGACGAAACGCTCAGTCTGGCTCAGAGTCTGAAGGCTGGTTGGGAGTGGTTTATGGACCTCGATGTTTTCCCATCGCTACCTGGAGGGATGAGGGAGTGGGCGTTGGGGTGGCATGAATTGCCAGCGGTGAAGCAGAAGGAAATTCTCCGGCTGTTTGATGTAGATGCGCAGGTTCTGGCTGGCTCGATGGACGCAGTGGGGAATATGTCGCTCCGCGGTCCGCTAACGCTCGAACGCGAACAAGTCGGTTGCGTCACGACCTTTCTAGCACAAGACCGTCCACTCGATGCTGTGGTCCCGTTGATGCTCAACCCATCGAAACAGAACCTTGGATCATGTTCGCTCTGCGGGACTACACTGGCAAAACAGGATATCGGTTCTGAGAAGCCGCATCGACCTGTTGAAATCCCCTGCGGACACATCTTCGGCTCGGAGTGTATTGTAAGCCATTTTCGCAAGCAGGAGGGTTGGACCTGTCCGTTTTGCGGGTGGAACTTGTTCGATGCGCCGCATCATCCGGTTACACCGCGGGAAGTCGTAGAGAGCTGTGATCGCATCTTGAAGTACTTGGACCCACCTGCGAGTGTTACGTTTCCGGTGAGTCCGCACACTTATCTTGAGAAACTAGGCATGGTTTTCGAAGACGCGGAGGAAATACGAGGGCATTTGAACTGCTGGCTCAACGCTCCGTATGCTGCGTATATTGAGTTGTTGGAGTTGTTCGACCTGGCGCTGTATCTTGCGAGGGACAGGTTGATGCTGCAACGAGAGGGGATGTTATCGAGTTCAGAGAGGTGGTGGGAACGCAATTTCAGGTTGAGGCGAGGATCCAGTGGTTGGAGCTTTTGAGGAGTTGTCATCCCAATTCTCCGGTGGTTTGGTAGGGAGACATATATTGTAGTTGCGAACTCAGGTTAGATTACCCTCTTGAGGCCTCTTTGGTGGGGGCTCGCCTCCATGGAGTGTTTTTGCTGCCTACCTCCAGTGAGATAGCAAGTAAACCCTTGAAAACATCTAGGGAAAACGTCGAGCATGTTCCCTTGGAAGCTATTCCGTCATTATAACCTCTTTCTCAAATCTCCGACACGGTACATCTTACCCCGTGTACAAGTACCCACAGAGGGCGACACCAACATGCATTGTGGTCCAAGACCTCGTTCCACCTCTTACCACGAGTCATGCCACCACCCTCCGCCAAACTATTCCTCCGCGCCATCCGAACCCTCCGACTCGTCCGACACTTCGGCCGACAGCATCGGGCCTTGAGGATGCCAAGTCCTCCGGAACAGAGAATCGCAAGGGGCAGCATCTGCAAGTCTGCATTAGCCCACGGCAATTAGCACATCCCGTAGCTTCGGCATAACTAAATAAGCTCAGCATGTGAAGATCCCCACGCGCTCACGCAGTAGTCACGGAGCATCGGACATAACCCACGGAGCAAGAACAAGAAGTATCGATTGAACCACGCTACCCAACAGGGCGCTCTAGGAATGAACTGGGTATAGACAAGAACAGGGACTTGCGATGAGGGGAAACCTCTCTGGTGTAGGAAATAAGGTGTGTATGTATGTACAAGAAGAGAAGGGGAAACAATGCAACGAGTGGTGACTGCAGACCAGCAAAAGGTCCAGCCTTGAACTTAACCCAAGAAAAAAAAACGCCCAGCGATGCTTATACCCAAATGCCAATACCAGAGTGAGGAATAGGCGAACAGAAATCAAGCCTTCTCCTTCTTAAAGCAGTTCTTTAGGCGAAGCTTGATCTTGTACATGTACCAATCGCTTTTCCTCTTGAGCCCAAGACCTTCGTTGCCATCCTCAGTAGTAGCTTGGCTCTTGCCCTCCTTACTCTTACTACGCCCACCTTTCTTTTCTTGCTTGCGCTTCTTCTCGTTCATGACAAACATGCTTGTGGGACGTTTCTTGAGTCCAGGTCCATCGGTGACGCCGGAATCCCACATGCCGGTTGTTGTGATCGGCGCATAAGCGGATTGTGTCTTGTGGGAACGTTCGGTTTCTGGCATGGCGGGCGATAGGAGCGGGGAGGCGAGGAGAGGCGCGGGCGAGCTTGGGCCTTCGGTTGATGGGGAGATGACGACGGGGGAGGGGATGGCGGCAGGGAGTGGGCGGGTTGACTCGGCGGAGGGACGTTCTATAGGTGAAGGGAGTGAGAGCTCTTTGATGCGAAGAAGCTCTACGCTGCGTTTCATAGTGCGCTCTTCGGGGGTCTCGACGAGTGTCTGGTCTTCGAAAGTGAGGCCGTACTTCTTCCTCATACTGCCTGTCATGCTATGCAGGGCGGTGCCGGTGGAATTCGCACGTCGCGCACGTGTCTTGACAACAGGGACCGGAGAGGCATGTATCGCCGTTTTGGTTGATGCAGGCGAAGGAGGAGTATCCGTGAAGCTTGTCGTGCGACGGGGGAGCCTTTCCATGCTAGGTTTGAACATCCGAGGAAACGAGCGGCGCTTCTCGTCGAGAGTCGATGCTGGAGATGGCGAGCGCGGGCAGTCCAACATGGACATGGAGAATGTGCGGTTGGCGCATGGACGGAAGGTTGCAGAGGGTGTCAAGGTTGGAGGCGAAGACAAGGAGGGGCTCTCGGTCGCGAATTCTCTAGACGCAACCCAGACGCCAGAAGCTAAGATGAATTGTCGGAGTGCGTCGCCTGTCTCGGTGGGGAGCTTATCCGTCAATGTGTCCATGAAGGTGTTGATGTCGATGCTGGAGGTGTCGGTAGTGGGTGACTGGGTGTAAGAAGTTATGCTAGGCGTTGACGGTGAGGCAGCAGACGGCATTGCGTAGGTATCCATGACATCTATGCGACTGCGGGTCATTGTCGCAATGATGGGATGGCGTCTGGAGTTGACACTCAAGGTGCTGAAGGTAAACTTCTTCTCGTCTGGAGCTTGAGGGAGCGATGGCGACAGTGGCCCAGTCGCCGACATGCTCGACACACGACGCGAGTGGTTTGGCTTCAACACCCAACGAGCCTTCAGCGTCAGTCCATGTTCGTCAGTGCTATTGAACTCGTAGCCTCCGTTTGGCATGTCGGTGACTGCCCAGCGACTCGTCCCGTCGTTCATGCAAATCTCCGTTGTCTCAGTAACCCCCCTGTCGCACTTCCGTGAACTGATGACACCAATTATGTCGCGCGAGCCCCAGCGATCTTCTTCCGACTTGTTCTCGTCATCCTGACTGTTGTATGCCTCTGCTTGCGCAATGAGGAGATCGTGTGGTCCCAGCCTTTCCCTGGTGTTGAAGCTCCGCGAAAGACGTCTCGAGGCTCGCTGGGGGATGGCCGAGAAAGGGACGACTTCGTAGGCTGGCTTTGGTCGCTGTGACGCAATGACTTGGTGCAGCTGCAGGGCAACCCTTTGCCGGCTGTGTAGCTTGGAGCGAGTGTTTACGGGTCGGGCGATGATGTAGGATGTCTTGGAACGAGGGGTCCGCTTCTTGGGCTTGACGCTGATAGTATCGCTGCCGGAGGAGACAGGTCTCGAAGGAGCGAGGGTGATGGTGGCTTCGTCATGCGGCTTCTTCATCGCATCCCTATGCGAGGCGCGCGTAGGAGTGTCAGGGGCATCGGTCGTAGGGTCGGTATGGGTAGAAGGAAGGGTCGCCTGCGACGGTGAAGGAGTCTGGCCGCGCAAGACGGAACCGAGAAGGGAAAGCGGCATCTGCAGGAAAGAGCCATTGGTGGTGGGCGAGGCTGCACGCGGTGGTGAGCTCTCACGGCCGTGTTTGGCGGCGTCGGCGGTCAACATGTCCAGCAGCATTGCTCCAGCACTCAATCCAGGTGTGACATGCTGAGAGACCCGTCAGCAAACAAGGAAATGACGAAAACACAGGCGCAATCAGCGCATGGGACGCCATTGTTCTTATGAAGGCGGGCCCCAAGGGCTGTGCGCTGAAGTTTGGAGGTCGTGCCCCCTCAAGCGTAATAGGCACACCCACAGGCGACGAACAACTGGGGCTGACTTACAAGCCACAGCTAGCAGGCTGACCTTATGCAGGGAGTGGGCTGGCCAATCAATCGCTCCCTATAATTTGAGCTTGTGCAGCTGAGTGTCTCAGGACGCGGCGCAGATGCAATTGCAGAAAACGAAATGGAGACAAAAAAGAAGCCGTCATGATGGGCCCCCCGTCAGGTCATTCATCGGCCGGCAGGGCTCTACTCACCATCCGCATCGTCGACGCACAAGGCACACAGGCTCCAACGCCGGTAAAGTCAACCGTCGTCCGTCCCGTGGGCGCAGGGACGCCAGCAAAGCCGCATCCGGCAAGGGGCTAGAACGATTGGCCCATCGTGCATATCATGCACACTCGCTACGAGCCCCTCTTTTTGCTTCATCGGGGAGCGATTACTCGGCTTCGGCGGACAAAAGCTGGGGGGCGGCTTACGGTGTGCTCATCGCCAGCAAAGAAACCGCTGACGGCGAGGTCTCACTTCGGTTCGGTGCGGACCTTTGAGCGAGCGCAGAAGACACGTTCCGCAGGGGTCCGGATACCTGATTATCTCACGATCTTAAGATTGATCATGCGGCACGGCGACCATGGAACCTTCATAAGGAACTCTGGGCAGTCAATGCACGGCGTATTCGTATACACCGCGCGGAGCTTCGATTGGCTAGCCTTGCGATGTTTCAAGCGAACAACGCTGTCAGCCAAGCCACACAGGAGACATTGACCACGGGATTCAGATTGAAGCATCATGGCAAAAGCAGATCGCAGCTGACGCGAAGCTTGTCAAACTCGGGCGTGGCTGTCGTGATGTTCGCGACAACAATGGAACAAGGCACCCCGCGCCCGCCTGAGGCTTACGCAACTCTAGGTACCATGAACGTCGCGAGGAGGGTTTCGAATTAGCCGTTACCTCACCGACAAAGCAGCACACCATTACGCCGTGCTGCACCTCTTGCTGCACGACCCGCTACAACTCACGATCTTGCTGCAAGCCTGCTCGCTTCTGATCGTCGGTTCCGTTGTGCTCCGCATCCCGCTGCTAAATTTTCACCGAGACCGACTCGTCAGCTGGAGGGCACATTACCGTCACGCACTCGGCTCAACCGAACTTCCGAGATATCTAACCTTCGAAACAGGAAAGCATTGCGTACGAAAGGTATTACTATTCGCCCATTTGTCAAGAACCCCCGATTCTCACGGCCGCAACGATAGGAAAGTTGTGTCAGCGAGGGTTGTGATCTTTTGCAACGAGTGCAAATGCCAACGGACGAAATGTCAGGCCAGGGCTTCGGTACCCATCCATCAGCTGAGAGCCTTGTCAATTGGTTCACGCAAAATGGGGGTCAGCTCAGTCCAGACGTCCAGATCGTCTACAGCGACTCGCATGGCTTTCACATGCGCGCTGCCAGACCATTGAGCTCCACTGTGGTGGCTTCATGTCCATTGAAGCTGACACTGTCTTCTCTAAACTTAGACCCGGAAGAGAAAGAGGTGTTGCACATCGAGAGTCCTCTTCAACGGTGTCGTGGGAAGATACCGGATCACATTCTGACGTACCTGCTGTTGATTGAACAGCGCAAGAGGGGCGATCAGTCGCCATGGCACGCCTACATCACATGTCTACCAGGGCCTGAAAGTATGACTACGCCTCTGTGGTTTGACGAGAGCGATATCGCCTTTTTGACCGGTACCAGCCTAGCGCCTGCGACCAAGGAAAGAAAGGCTGAATTGCAACACCAATGGGAAAATGCTGTGGCTGTTATGAAAGAGCTTGGTATGCCTCTTGCTGACGAGATTGACCTGTAAGTTCTTTAGCGAGTGCGATTCAGCGCAATCTATATCGTGTCTAGCGTGCACTATAAAGTCAGCACTACCTCTGCCACAACTGAGACACTGCAAGCGAGTTGTGCTTTTGCGTGCCAACAACACAGATCTCCACATATATGGCTCATGATACACCGATACATCAGCTTTCTGGCGCAGCCTGCTAACGATCGTCAGCGATTCGTTATTATGGGCAGCCACCATCTTCACCTCGCGAGCCTTCATATCGACCCACATATTGCCGGAAAGAGAGACCATACCTATTCTCTTTCCGGTGGTCGATATTCTGAATCACTCTGTATCCGCCAAAGTAGAATGGGACTTCCAGCCTCACCAGTCTTTCACGCTCAAGTGCCTTGAAGGCGAGTCGTTTCAGCCCGGCCAAGAACTCTTCAACAACTACGCACCTAAGCAGAACGATGAGCTACTCCTCGGCTATGGTTTCTGCCTAGAAGACAACCCCATTGAGCAGTTTGCTTTGAAGCTCGCGTTCCAGCCGCAACTGCAGCAGTATGCACAACAGCTGGGTTTGCTAAACCCTGAGAATGTACCTTTTGGCATGTCAAAAGACTTTCTGGCCACCGATCCGAACAAGGAGCAGCATTTCCTACGCGCCAAGAACCATCCATTTGGTCGCTACGATAACCATATACCCTTCTTCCGTGGTGTGCCTCCGTATATTGTTCACTTCTTCTTCATCCAGACGATCATAACTTCTGAAGTGGAAGTAAGCACTATCGACATCGCAAGACCAGGCCCGAGAATTACGCTGCAAGTATTGGTACTCCTGCACCAAGCGCTGGAGCAGAGGTGCAGTACTCTTCCACTGCAGATAGACCAGGAACCCCGAAACGACAAGCAAAAGTACGCGAAGATTTATCGCGACAGCCAGGCCAGAATCATCCATTCAGTGCGGCAAGAACTTAAGGATGCGATTACAGAGTTGCGTGCACCTGACGCTGAACTTCCCACCCGCGCCTTGCACAGTCTCTCGGATGTGCTGGCAACCTTCGGCACCGACCTTCCAGAACCAGCGAGAACCTTCTCAAGCGCTCTCAACAAACATGGTATTCAAGGTCAACAAAACGAAGGTCTGGAGTGGACGGTGTTATTGACCGTCCTGTTGGCGTTGATGTTGACCACACAAGACACAAACGACGTGAAGACATTTACTCTAATGCGAGACTTGTGCTCTAAACACACCCTTCCCACACTCGAAGACGGCATTGAAGACGTTGACACATACACCTTTGTCGACGAAAACCTTGGCGACTTTGTGAGTTTGCCATCTGCAGACGCAAACGCCGCACCAACGGATATACTAGACGACCTTGGTCTGACGTTCGTCAACCAACCCGCCGATAGCACAGCACCTGTTTTCATCAAGGGACGCACAGAGAATCTCGGCGCGAGGATAATCATGTGGGCAATGAAGGTTGTAGAGAAAGACGTTGTACCTGTGTTTGAAGAGGGGCAGATAGTAAGATGTCTGTATGCCAGAGCGCAGACAACGGAGAAGGGGCAAAGCGACGAGACGTGGATGTACGAGTAGAACCAAAACACAATCCACGTGTACTTGCGCTCGCCACGCAAACCACTCACTGCTATCATCTTTTAAGTTATCGTGTGTGTGTACTTACGCACCCCCTGTGATGTCTTACTCACCACAGAGAAAATTCACCATAGATAATTTCGTGTGTACCGCCGGGCGAACGCAAGTGAGAGCCCACCAGTTTTCTGCTATCGCATATTACCCCGAGCTGCTCAAACTTCACAACTATTGCTGCTTGATACTGAAGGTAAAGACTGCAGACGCGAACCCGGGGAGTACATAGGTAGTAGAATTATCACGTTACTACCACCACGGCCACTTAACACAACTCCTCCACGTCTACTCTCTCTTTCCCTCGTCTTCAGTCACCTCACCACTGTTCCTCAGTCACCACTCCCCGCAGATTGAGACGTTTGACGCGCTCACTGTCAGCGGTCCTCACCCAATGAGGGTGATGGAAGCCCCGCACTAGCGTGACAGCTAGCGTGTGTCCCCTGCAGCGTCTCGCTTTGGCAACGCCAACGCGTAAACACAGACCCTCCTTGAACAAAACACGCCTCCACTTTTTGCTTTCTCACCACCACGCCTTCCTTTCGTCTACACTCGCTGCTTCTTATCGCTCTTATCGCCTACTCTACGCGAGATAGAGCGTTTATCGTCTTTAATTTCGCCCTTTCGTCCTGCGGGACACCATCACAGCTATGGCGGACGACTCTATAATGGACGACTCCGTATTCGACGAGGGCGCCAGCTCCGACTTCGCGCCGCCCGCGAAGCCCGCAAAGGCCACCAAGGCTGCCGCAAAGCCCAAGGCAGCAGCAACGAAGAAAGCAGCAGGTCCTGCGAAACCTCGAGGACGGCCCGCCGGCGCGGCTGCAAAGCCCAAGGCAAAGGCCGCGCCCAAGAAGAAGGCAAAGGCCGTCTCAGACGATGAGAACTCGGACATCGACATGGACGCGGACCCTGTCAACGACGACGAGTCACTCCTAGACGACACACCACCGAAAGCCAAGAAGGCAGCAGCCCCGAAGAAGTCCAGCGGCAAGCCTCTTGCAGACATCGCGAACGAGAGCTTTGGCGGGGATGCCGACGATGTACCCATCTCGGCGCCTAAGAAGGGCGGTGCCAGCAGCAAGTACCAGATGGTGAGTGCGCGAAGTCTGGGTAGCAAAGCAATGACTAACACTTAAACAGTTGACGCATTTGGAGCACATCATGAAGCGCCCCGACACATACATTGGCTCCGTAGAGCGCCAGACGGACAAGATGTGGGTGTACAACTCAGAGAGCGAGTCGATGGAGTTCCGCGACGTCTCCTACGTCCCCGGTCTCTACAAGATCTTCGACGAGATCCTCGTCAACGCGGCCGACAACAAGCAGAACGACAAGAACATGAGCGAGATCAGGGTCACGGTTGACCGCGAG